CTCTTTCCTGCCATGGCAGGGGGTCGGACTTGATGATCTGCTCAGGTGCCTTCTGACCCTACTAACTATGAAACTATGCAGGTCTGAAAGATGAATTCTATGGCTGCTCTAAAAAACGCCATCGTTTTATGACACAACGACATTCTGTAGGTTTCTGACATTATACTGGTAACCTGTGTGTCAGTCTTTCACCAGTCCCACGGGACACCCCTGCCCATTACGGGACAGGGAGGCCTGGGTGACGGAGATTCCTTACCCTCCATCAAAGCTGACCTTGTGAAGGAACACCTTGAGAGGCTGGATACCTTCAAGTCAGCCAGCCCTGACAATCTACACCCCAGGGTACTCAAGGAGCTGGTGAGCATCATAGCCCAGCCTCTGTCACGGATCTTTGAAAACTCTTGGTGATCTGGTGTAGTGCCCAAAGAATGGAAGAAGGCCAATGTCATGCCTATCTCCAAGAAAGGAAGGAAAGTGGATCCAGCAAAGTACAGGCCCATCAGCCTGACCTTTATCCCAGGGAAGATCTTAGAAAAGTTTATTAAAGAGGCCATCCTTAATGGACTGGCTAACGTCAACATCCTGAGGGATAGCCAGCACGGGTTTGTTGCGGTTAGGTCTTGCTTGACCAATCTCATTTCCTTTTATGACCAGGTGACCTATAACCTGGACAAAGAAGAGATTGATGTCATATATCTTGACTTCAAAAAAAGCCTTTGATTTGGTATCCCATGATCACCTCTAGGTGAAGCTGGCCAATTGTGGCCTTGGGTCCACCACAATCTGCTGGCTGGGGAATTGGCTCTGTGGTCAGACCCAGAGGGTGGTAATTGATGGAAGTCAATTGTCATGGTGCCCTGTGACCAGTGGGGTCCCCCAAAGCTCTGTTCTTGGACCCATACTGTTCAACATCTTCATTAATGATGTGGACATTGGAGTCAGGAGTGGACTGGCCAAGTTTGCCGATGACACCAAACTTTGGAGCAAAGCATCCACACCTGAAGACAGGAGGGTGATCCAGGCAGATCTGGACAAACTCATGAAATGGGTGGACGAGAACCTGATGGTATTTAACACTGAAAAATGCAAGGTTCTCCACCTTGGGAGGAAAAACCTGCAGCATCCTTATAGGCTCGGCAGTGCTACGCTGGCTAACACTATGGAAGAAAGATACTTGGGGGTCATCATTCACCACAAGATGAACATGAGCCTGCAATGCGATGCTACGACTAGTAAAGCAAGCAAAATGCTGGCTTGCATCCATAGATGCTTCTCAAACAAATCCCAGAACATCATTCTCACGTTGTACTCGGCCTTGGTGAGGCCACAGCTGGAGTACTGCGTACAGTTTTGGGCCCCACAATTCAAAAAAGGATGTGGAGAAGCTCCCTCCCCTCTCCCACCAGCACGGGACCCCAGCCCTTTCCACACTTGAACAGGGAAAAGCCTGGCAGGGGCTGCTGCATCTCTGCCAGGGAGACCACCCCCCCGGGGTCTGTGCCAGTGGGAGAGGGGAGGAAAGAAGTTTTAAACCCCTCTCCCTCACCCCTCTTCACCTCAGGGTACTGCCACTGGCCAGGATCTGGCCACACCCCTGCCCCTGCCACTCAAGGGGCAAGTGGGGAAAAGCCTAACAGAAGCTGCTTCCTCCCTCCCCCTCCAGACACACCACAGCTGGGGACTCTGCAGGCCAGGGTAGGGGTTTAAACCCCTCCGCAATTGTACTCAGTGGTGTGCCGGAGCCCAGCCATGCCTCTCCCCCTCAGCTTGAGCAGGGAGGGGGGAAAAACCTGGAGGGCTTCTCTCCCAGCTTCCCTCCAGCCTTCCTGCCACTGCCAAAGGGAAGAGGGGGCTTGCTTTAGTGTACCCCAGCTTCTGGCCTGAGCCACACAGGCATGTGGCTGCATTTCCGGAATCAAAAGTGAATGTCTAGTCACTTGCTTCTTGGTTCAATCTATACAGTTTAGATTAACCTGCAAAGACTGAACTGACTCAGGCTTGGGCTTTTTGAATGTCTGTATGTACAGCAGAAAGAGAGTCCTCAATTTATATGAAAGCCATTCATCATAGGTGGGCAGCAATGAAAGATGATAATCACTGTTTTTTTTAAATGCAGGTACTATGGACTGGAGTGATGCCTCAACCCATTTCAAATACCCACTCAACCCATCAGTTCAGTGGTGAATATAGCCCCTAGACACTATCTTGTCCAAAACAGTGACCAAGAGATCTGTGTCCCACTGTTAAATCTCTTTGATTTTACACTTCTGTGTTTCTGCCTCTTTCCATCTTACTAGCCAAATCAGAGACCTTATTACTTATAGAAGAAAGAAAAAGGCCCCTTTAACAGCTGGAGGAAACAAAGAAAGCTTTGGGCTATGATACAGTATTTATTCATTCCTGTTCTCCTTTTTTTCTACAGGACTTGTGGTCAAAATTGATATGTGGGTACATCTCAGGGTAGGTAACAGTTCTGAAAATAATTAGAATCTTTTAAAGTCCCCTGGAATATATAAGCCAGAGGCAAGACATACAGGTGGTCTGCAACTATAAGAAACTTGCTTCTGAGAGTTAAGCATTTATAATACTGTACTGATGTTTGTACACGCATCTTAACATTTTCATTGTTCCAGATAGACTGAAGTGAAATTATGTGCACTATATATTCTTTTTATATCGATTTATACATGTGTTTACTATTCAGCCGAGGATCAACTTTTCTGCTATTTTAAACTGATTCAGCTCCACTGAAATAGCTGGAACTGCAACTTTATATATAAAAGAAAGGGTTTAGTCATGATTCTACTAATTCTTTGCCCTTATGGAATTATTATACATATTATTAAGACACATAAATTGTCCATGCACACAACAGAAGAGATGACAACATTTTAAAACCTGGGTGTCTAAACTTAGAGTCCTAAATCCATATTAGGTATCAAAATTAAAGTGGCCTGGTTCTCAGAACTAGTTAGCACTTGCTGTTTTTATGGATAATAGCTGGCCCTTATGAAAAATTACCTTACATATTAAGGGTTGGCTTGTTTATATAACCAAATATGGATATGAATAACAAATTTAGGACCCAGATTTGAGGATTTTGGCTTCTTGCTTTTGTATGTAGAATAAAGTAGAATTTTTTTAAGGGTTAGTTCTTAGTAAGTCAGTTCTTAGTAAGTCAAACCACTATGATACCTCACACTGCATGCTGTATGTGGAAAAATGTGGTATACAGGCAATATCACAAACGGAACTGACACAGGAATTGAAAGCTGAATAAATACCTTTTCATGTTTTTTCAGAAATGTCTTCTTCATTTTCCCATGATGCTGTAAATGAAAAAGCAATTTTTGAGCAAGTATGACATAGCAAGAAGCTACAGTAACATTGCAGAACTATAATAGGATGAGAAAAAAAACTAAGTAACAAAATTTTGCATCATGTGCAATTACTATAGGTATGCCTACTCTTCATGCCCTGATTCCATTTGCTCTTAGGAGTAATTTTGCAACCCCTGATTAATGCTGTTTCACTTGGCGCTATTTTGCTATAACGCTCATTTAAAATTGATACCCACTTCCATTTAGTGCTCAGTGAGTTTCATTATAATGCTCGCAGCCATCATCTTGGGTCATTAAAAACAACTGCAATTGCCATCTTGGGTCATCAAATACTTTTGGTTTTGCTTAATGTTCGTTTCGCTTAATGTTTGTTTTTTCAGGAACCAATTAAGAGCACTAAGAGAGGGGTTGCCTGTACTGCTTATTATAACACTGCAACGTAATCGTGATGTGACTTGGCTCATCAAATCTTATGCTGTCTGAAGAATGAGTGACAACATTCACCCTGCAGGTAAACCTGTAGGGTTACTATTTTTCTAAACTGATTTATCAGGGGAAATATACACATTTAAATCAGAAAAAAATTAAAGAGTAAATCAGAAAATGCAGCAAGTCTCCCATGGATATTTAAATAAGCCTCCCATGTGTCCTTCACTCTCCATTCCAGCTCAACTCAAGGAAAGGACAAAAATGTGTTTCATTTGTAGTCCCCTTCTTTTTTCCAAACATTAGTAAGGAAAATGGCGGCCACTGGAATTTATATGCATCCCACTTGCAACTCTTTTACTTCTAAAGTTCACTCAGTTTTGATGGGTTTTGACAGCAGCACATCTGTGAAATTAAGTAATACTGTGTCAAAGGAAGATCAAGACGCAGAATTTGAAGGACAAGTGAGAAGTAGAGAAATAAGTAAAAAACGGAGCTGAACAGGTAAGAAAACTGTACAGAATAACAGTGTGGAAAGGAAGAGCATGGACAGTCAGAGTCCTTTGGAATTTCTTCTCAAAATAGATTAAGAGAAGGAGGAGAACCCATTGAACAAGAGATCAAAACAATTATTAAGGAGAGAATGGAGAAAAACTAAACAATCCCACAAGCTAAATGTGGAAAAAAATTAAGGTTTGCATATCAAAAGAAATTGAGATGTCAATCAGTCTTTACTTGTATGGTCATGTGTTATTTTTCAGAACGCAACACCAAAAGAGTTTTTAAGGGACAGCTTATTACTCTGCACAGTGAATGAAAAATCACTGAAAGGGTAATCATCTTTTCCTGGTAAAGTGTATATGTAGAAGCTTATATTTGGGATTTTTGGACCTGAATACCTGTCCATTTTAGAGTTTTTATAGCTGTTTTTGACTGATTACTAAATAGAGTATTATAATGGTTTAAGAGCCTTTCTTAAGTAACTTGACAATACAGCTTTATATTAAGACAATGGCTTATGTGGTAGGTCATATATGCACAAAGTAAGCTTTACATTTGAAAACAAGGGCTTGAAGGAGAATCAAGGAATTGCTGAAAGGGGAAGGTGAGGTTCTAAGCTACCTGGCGTGATAGTGGTGGGTTACATGCTGCACCTGTGATGCTCAAGTCTTTTCTGTGATGTACTCATATATTATTTGACAGGTAGGCACCCTTCTTAGCATAAGTATAGAAAAAAAAACATGCTATGCTCTTCTTACAGAAAATCATTTGCAGATTATCAGGAAATAACAATTATTTCATAATTTCTTTTCTTATAAAAGGACCTTTTAGAAATTATTTAATATTTTTCACTTAATCTGGTATACTCCACTCGAGTTTTTTATTTGCTTCTTGACATCACAGATTTATTATTTTGGTGTTTTAACAGTTTGTCAGCTTTCTGCCTCCCACAGTGCTGACATTACCTCTTGCTTCTCAATAGGGGTACTATTTCACAAATGGAACCACCGCCATCTTTAGGTTAGTGCCTGAACAACTCTCCTTTTATTACTGTAGTCTGTTTGCTAAGAACATCGTCTCAGTATTCAGTAGAAGTCAAAAAAGGAAATAATATGTTAGGAATTATTAAGAAGGAAATCATAAACAAGCAAAAATTATCATTATGACCCTTTATAACTCTATGGTCCGTCCACACCTTGAATACTGTGTGTAATTTTGGTCCCTGTAATAGGATGGCGTCCTAGGGTCACCGTGCACTCCCCTAGGGCCCGCCTTTAGTAATGCCAAGCGTTCCCTAAGCACCCTCAGAATCTCACCTGCCATGTCTTTGATGTTATGTATTTATTGTAGGGAGGCTGCCCTTCGTTCCCTTGGCTACGGTTTTCTGCTATGTGCCGGACCCACCTCGGTCTCCCTGGCACTTGGGCACTCTACAGCCCTGCCTCACTCTGTGTCCTGTTGACACTCTGTCCCTTCACAGTCTCGTCTCACTCGGGCTCTCTGAAGTCCCTCCTCACAGTGCACCTCACGGTGCTCAAACAGTAGCTGCCCCTCTGTCTCTGGGGCTTCTTGCTGCCCTCTCTGGGGCTTCTTGCTCACCCCGAGCCTCACTGGCACTCAGGTTCTCCACGACCTTGTGCCTTGTGGGGTACTCGGGGTCAGCCTTCTCCCAACACTGCGCCTTTGCCTTGGCGCTCGGGGATGACACCTCCCCTCTGCTGCGCCCTTACGAACGCTCAGGGTCAATGCCCTCCCTGCACTGTCCTTTCTGGCAGTCTGGGAGGCGCACTCCCTCTGCTGCACCCTTTTTCGCTTCACGGTCACTGTCCACTCTCTCAGGGTCTCTCAGCAGTGCCCACTCTCTCTGGGGCCTCTCGCACGGCCCACTCTTTGGGGCTGGGGTCCACACTCTAACATGGTTCCCCTATGAGGCCTCCTCCATCCCCTTATAGCCTCGCCCGAACCTCCAGTGTAACAACCACCAAAACACAAGCCCCTCGGCTATAACACAAATCTATGCCTCATGGCTAAAACGTCCTCCGAACCACATGACAGGCGTTCCATCTCTCACCCATGTCACTAGCTGCTCGCACATCCAGGCCTTTTCCTTTTCACACATTCAGGGCTGAGCTCCTTCCTCCTTGGCCGCAGGCTGCCCCCTCTCTGGGCTTTGGCCTGCGATTTCTGTCTCCTTAACTCCCTCTGGTTGCCCCTAGCAACCAGCACCTGAGCCACTACTCCAGCTTTCCAAGTAGCAGGCATCTTAGTGCCCTGCTACAGTCCCATATCTCAAAAAGCTTTCAGAACTAGAAAAGATACAGAGAAGAGCAACAAGGATGATCAAGGAACTGGAGGGGTTTCCGTGTAAGAAGAGACTAAATAGGCTAGGACTTTTCAGATTAGAAAAGAAACTCTTCAGGGACAACATTATAGAGGTTTATAAAATATTAAATAGTGCAGAGAAAGTAAACAGGGATTTATTATTTACTAATTCTCCTCACAAGTCCTGAATTGGGGACATAAAATGCCACATTTACCTGAATCCAAGATGATTCTGATTATAAGACAATGCCCCAGTAATTAGGTTCTATACATGGAAAATGTATAAAATTGTTATAATTTTTCATGTATGGAATCTAATTATTGAATGGCCATCTTCAATTTGTCCCCTCCACCAGTGCAATGGAGCGAGCAGTGGCAAGAAGGCAAGTGGTGGGGAAGTCCAGTAGCCTGACACCTGCACTTTCCCCCTGCTGTCTGTCCACCCCCAGCTTGACCCCTCCCAAGCCCGTGCAGCCCCCCAGAACCTTTTCCCCTCCCTTCCTCCTCCATTTCTGGCCCTAGACATGGAGCACACTGTCACTCCAGCACCCTCCAAGCAACACAGCAGTGGCTGCAGCGGTGGCAGCTCTGACCCTGGCCCTGGGCTGGAGTCAGAGCTGGAGCTGTTGCCACTGCTGCTGCTCTAACATGGCCAGGTGCAGGCTCGAGCAACCATGCGCTCCAGGCCCCAGGCTGGAGCTAGAGCTACAGAGGGCAAGCAGTGGTGGGAGCAGGGGCTGAGACTCTGACTTGGAGTTGGGGCTACCTCATCTTGGATTGAAATGACTATGGCATGTTGTTGTTCCTTTTACACATAGTGTGTAATTAAGTTGTAGAATTCATTGCCACAAAAGGTTGTAAAGGCTAGTAGCCTAGCCTAGCTCAGAATTGGTGGAGGAAAGGTCCATCAGTAGATAGTGAATATGGTGGAGACAGGGGTGCAGCCTCTGAATCAAAACTACCTACATTTTTTAATGCTAGAAGCTACACGGAACAGGACGTGGAAAATTTTAGACGCGCTGTTCGCCCTACCCCTCAGCACCCACCCTGAGCCACTGAGAGACAGGACACTAGGCTAAATGGACCTATAGTCTGACCCAGGAAATAGCATTTTATATGTTATGTTCTTATGCTTTGTACCTATTTTAATGTTTATGCAAGCTTGGCTAATAACTCCAACAAAAAATTTCCAGCTTAAAATCCACACTGAATGTCATTACAATTCCAATAAAAATGAATTTTATTTTTACAACTTCCATGACTCAGACCGACAAAAATTGAATGCTTTTCCAGAACTGCTGGTCTAGTTGGATTTTGAGATGCAGCTAATTTGTGAATTTTGCCTTAACACCTGATTAAGTGCTAATTATTCTCCAGTGATACGTGTGACAGGAACTGGAATTTTTTCATGCTTTAGCAAGCCTTGACAAAAGATTTAACCCAATTGATTTTAAAAAGCCATCAAGTTTAATACATGATACCTCCAAAAAGACCTTATAAATGCAGGTCCTGCTCTGTATTTTACTGCACTAAGGTGCAGCGGTGTAAGCAAGTGCAGAAACTGCAGGACTGGTGTAAATTGTCAGAGATGATTCAATGAAGGGAACAAGCACATGAGTGCAAAGGGGCTGGGAGGTGAAAGAATTGGCTATTTTTGCATATATAAATAAATACAATTATTTTTGACATATTTCTTGTTGGCTTTCCCATCTCCTCCGGATCTGAAGGTAACCAGGAGAAAATTTGGCAATTATAGCACTAAAATCATTACTTTTTTACACAACAATTTTTTTCAAAGGAATATCTCTTGTCCAGCAGCAGAAGTGAAGTCAGCTATGTCAGTAACTGTAAGTTATCACAAATAATTCTCTTTTCTTCCAAAAAAACTGTAAAAGGAGAGTGGCCAGTATGGAACTCCTTCAGCATTCATTATGGGAACATCTAACCACCAGAAAAATGAGTGCCTTACTCAAGTTCAGTTACATAACCAGTATGTTACTACTAAGGGCTCCAATTATAGACAATTATTTACAGGTTTTCTTTTAAAACAGGAAAAGAAATAGCCTTAAAGCAGGGTTGTCAAAGAGAGCCCGTGGACTGGATCTAGCCCTTGCAGCCCTATCAACCAACCCCCCGTGCTACCTGCAGGTCTCAGAGTTGACCCAGAGGCAACATGTGGGATGCACTAGATCAGGGGCGGGCAAAATACAGCCCACGGGCCGGATCCGGCCTGCCAAGCACTTCCCTCTGGCCTGCGGAGCCCCTTCAAAACCCACGTAATGGCGGCTGTCTCTCTAAAAGCCTCTGGCGGCACCAGCTGCAGCACCTCAGGCTGTTTCCTTGGGTTCTGGTTGCGAGGCAACCAACCCTGACCTCAGCCTGCCCCTGCTGGTCTCTCCCTGCCCCGGCTCAGGCCGTGTTTGCAACTTAAGAGGGGTGGGGAGGCTGGCGCCGGTGAAAGGAAACAGTGTCTGGGACACCTTCTGCTTTGCTGCACGGGACTGGAAAGGTCCCTGCCCTGCAGGTAAGCGGCTGCTGGGCAGGCTTTCCCCATGCCATGCCATGCCATGCCACTCGGGCTGTGCAGGGTTGGGCTGGGCTGGGCTGGCACTGGAGAGGGGAAGCAGCAGCTGGGCCACAGCTCCGGCCCAGTCAGCACCAGGAAGGAGAAGTGGCGGCGGAGCCGTGTGCCGCTTGGGACAGGATGAGCCCAGCCAGAGCGGCAGCGGCTCAGATGCATTTTTCCCCCTACCTGCACCGGTCAGTCCCAAGCAGTACACGGCTCCACTGCCACTTTTGCTGGCTGGTGCAGACCCGGGCAGGCTCTTCCTGTCCCCAGCAGCACGTGGGAAGCTGGCTTCAGCCACATGCTGCTCTGGATGGGGACTTCCAGTGGCAAAGGTCAGGGGGCAGGACATCCGGTCCCAAGATGGCAAAAGGGGGTGGGGCAACTGAAGGGGCGGGGCTACCCATGCAGTCCTTGACAGCTCGCCAAAACTCATCAAGGAGACCTCTGCCTGAAATAATTGCCCACCCCTGCACTAGATGGTCCTACGCACTGCACAAGCTGCCCCTCCAGCTCACATCTGGGAGTGATGGAGCAGCCACCATGTACAGCATTCAGCAGTTACTCTGGGGCTCTGGGACCAAGTCACATGCAGGACCCCCTGAAGCACACATCCTGGAATGGGGGAGCAGCCATATATACAAACACAGCCCTGGAGCGGCCAGAGCAAAGCTGCACTGCATGTAGTGCCCACTCCAGCTGTTCCAGGGCATGAGCTGTACCTGGTATGTGGGGCCAGTCTTCAAGTCTGATCCCACCTGCAGATCAGTCCCATGCCACTCATCTGGCCTCTGATGCTAGATGAGTTTAACACTCCTCCCTTAAATAACAGGTAGCTCATATCTAGATATATGGCTAATTCTTAATGTCCCCAATTTTTCCTTCTTTGGCTCCTGTGATTATATTTTTACAGGGCTCTAAAAAAATTCTTTAAATTAATAAAATGTATGAAAGGCATAAACACCCAATCAGTGGATCATGATTTCAATCCCTTCCTCTCTTCCTTTGTGCAATAGTGCTACTATATAATAATTATGCATGTCTTAAATTCCTATTAAATGTTAATGATGACTAATTGGGAATCATCATCACTTGTGAACCAAAAACACGCTTTGGATCAAATTGACTATTACATACAAAACAGATTTGGAAACAAATATTCAAAAGAACTTTGAACTGGATGACGCAATAGGCTTGAGTCCAATATAAAGCAGTAAATAAAAAAATATAGGAGTTACCTTAAGGAAGAATCTTTTATCTGTCCGAGAAGGGTTGTAGGAAGCAAGGTAAGCAGCTATTAGTAGGAATTTGGAGTAATAAGGAAGTTCTACATGAGTATGTGCAGAAAGTCCTACAAACAAAACAAACAGGTTAAGAATCACTGAAGAACCATTCTAAACCTGATGAGCCTTAGTTTAAACCATTTTGCTTCATTCTTGTTCTCAGGCATATTTACCTGGTCACATTCCTCTTCTCTGCACGCTCCAATCCCTTAGAACAGCAGAGTTTGAATATTTACAAAAATCCTACTGGTGGGTGCACACTTTGAAGAGGCACCCATTCATTAAGACCAGCCCTCTGAGTTTGCTGGTCAACTGTTTCCATGAGAAGGGAGAGATCATCAGTGATCTAGATTCCACTGTGCTGGGATCTTCATTTGCTGAACTGGTTTACGTCAAACCTTGCATTTTAAAACTTTACCTTTTCTAAACCAAAGTAGTTTGGTAAGCTGGCAAGGACAAATAAGGTAAAACTGCCTTTAAATACATTTGCAATGCTAACGCCTTTGCAACTGAGATTTGACCTTTACGCTGTTCTACATTTGGTGAGGGACCAGCTCAACAATGAGCTATTCTAAACTGGAGAGCCAAAGAGCACCTGTAAACACCTTTAAAGCAAGCCCCCACGACATGATGAGTGTTTCTTAGTTGCAGCTCTGCATCTGGCTGTCATTCTTATATTTAATTTATAACTGAAGGTAAGGGTTTCCAAAGCTCTTTCAGCATGATTAATTTTCTCTCATCTGCTACACATTCAACTTTAATATTTAACCTTCACATATATGCATCAGAGTAATCAAGACTAGGATTTCCCCTCCTTCCCCCACCCCCATCCATTCACTTTCCTGTTTTTTCTTTCAGATATTTGTCCAGCCATTCCACTGCTTCTTTATTTAAAATGCATGTGATTAGCACCATTAAGATACCCTACTTTCTCAGCTGTCTGAGCAGAGCTGTCTGAGGAGTTTCCCAAAGGGTCTATTTTGTGATTTCTGTTTTGTGTTTCCACCTAGGTTGTTCTTTGCCCTATGATATGTACATCTTGTGGGATCTGTACAGTACTAAGCATGCCTGTCAATGCTCAAATCCTGATAAAA